GTATTTATTATTTGTATGCTTGATTGCTGTCATTCTGACTGCTGTGAGATGAAATCTCAGTGTAGTTTTGATTTGGTGATATTGTACATATTTATGGGGTACATTGTGATACTTCAATATGAATATATAGTATGTAAAGATCAGATCAGGGTAATTGGCATAGGCATCCCTTCAAACATTTATCATTTCTTTTCTAGTAACATTCAAAATCAATAACTCTTGAGGTGTTCTCATCAGTCTCTTCTGCCTCTCTCCTTCCCTTCAAGGTCCTGGATCGGGAGGGTCAAATGGATAACCCATGTACGAGCTGGCTGGCGGATGCCTACTGGGACAACATTACAGAGCTGGATAAACTGACCAACTTCCATGGACTCATGAATTCTTTTGAGCAGTATCCTCGGGACTGGCACCTGTGGTACACCAGTGCTACCCCAGAGAAAGCCATGCTGCCAGGTACCCAGGCCTCAGAACCTCCCCCTGCTTGCTATTCTCCTTCCCTCCATTCAGCCTTTGTTTGCCCTTCCCTTTATTCTTCCTCCCTCTCCCCAGCTCCCCTCCACTGGCTGCTCTCCCCACAGGTGCCTCTTTGTTTCCATTCTGGGTCCTTTCAGACTCTCTCCCTCTGCATTTATTTTCCTCATCCCCAGGTGAATGGGAAAATGCCTGCAATGAGATGCAACGAATGCTGATTGTTCGCTCCCTGCGCCAGGACCGGGTGGCATTCTGTGTCACTTCTTTCATCGTCTCCAATCTTGGCTCCCGCTTCATTGAGCCACCTGTGCTAAACATGAAGTTGGTCAGTGGCTCTGCCTCCTGTGCTCTGTTGTGGTCTCCTCAAGCTCGCTGTCTTGCCTCGGCTCTGGGGCTTTCTTCCTGAGGCTATCCTTGTGTTTCTAGGTAATGGAAGATTCAACTCCGAGATCCCCACTGGTCTTTATCCTGTCCCCGGGAGTGGACCCCACAAGTGCCCTGCTCCAGCTGGCAGAGCACACAGGCATGGCCCAGCGCTTCCATGCCTTATCCCTGGGCCAGGGCCAGGCCCCTATTGCTGCTCGGCTCCTCCGAGACGGTGTGATTCAGGGTCAGTGTCCATGCCTTCTTTCACACTCATACTCAGCCCTGGTCCTCTGACTCCAGTCATAGTATGTGACTCTAATAGCTCCCACTTTTCCAGAAGGCCCCAGGAGTGGCAGACTTGGGTATTGGACACCACCCCCACTGCCACCAGGTGGAAAGAATAAGGAATGTTTCCCTCTGACACCAGCATCTCCTTACAGGACATTGGGTGTTTCTGGCAAACTGCCACCTGTCATTGTCTTGGATGCCTAATCTGGACAAACTGGTGGAACAGCTGCAGGTGGAGGACCCTCACCCTTCCTTCCGTCTCTGGCTCAGCTCTAGTCCCCACCCAGACTTCCCTATCTCAATCCTGCAGGCCAGCATCAAGATGACCACAGAGCCACCAAAGGTATGGGTGGCTATCGAGGACTGGCATCAACAGAGTCATCTGGTCTGTGTTTCCTCTTGATGGCATCAGAGAGAGAGGTCTTAACTATAATAACAACACAACTTTGTTTGATTTTAGTGTCCTCTAAAAACATTGAATCTCTCTTCTTTGTGCCAAACTCCTAGAACATAATAGTAACATCTAACATTTCTTGAGTGACTATTATGTGCCAAGCAGTTTTCTAAATTCTTTTCATTTGTTAACTCATTTAATACACATATACACATACAACATCATGTAAGAACTGTCACCCCCAATTTACAGATAGGAAACTGAAGCACAGAAAAATGTGAGTGAGTATTCCAGAGTCAGAATATGGGTAGTTGTGCTCCCAAATTCTTTTTGTGGGGAGTGGGGTACTGGGGATTGAACTCAGAGGCATTTACCACTAAGTTATACTCCCAGCCCTCCCTCTCTTTTATATTTTGAGACAGGTCTCCCTAAGTTGCCAAGGTTGGCCTAGAACTTGTGGTTCTCCTGCCTCAGCCTCCCAAGTAGCTGGGATTACCGGCATGGGTGTCTGTGCTCAGCATAGTTTCTGTGTGTGTGTGTGTGTGTGTGTGTGTGTGTGTGTGTGTGTGGCGGTGGGTGATAGAGATTGTACCAGGGGTTCCTTTTTATTTATTGTTTATTTTGAGACAGGATCTCGCTAATTTACCAAGGCAAACTTGTGATTGTGATCTTCCTGAGTTCTGAAATTGCAGGAGTAAGCCACCATGCCCAGCCCAATTCATTCCTTCAAATTGCAGAAACTTCCTGTTTCCCAACATTTCCTTACATTCCCTTCTTAAAGTCACACTTCCTGGACTCCTAGTCTCCTTCTCCTTCCTTCTAGTGCTCTAAAAAGTTTTATCTCCAATATTACAAGCTCACCATTGAAATGCAATGATACTTATCTTTTAAAATCTGCTCATGTCATTACACCCCACCCACATACCCCCTAGTAAGTTATTTTGGTAGCTTTTTATTGCTCTTCCTTGAGTTCAAAAATCACACCATATGAAAAGCACAGGGACCTGCTTGTCAGTTACCTACAAAGAAGTACTCTGAACACATTTCACACATTTATCATTCTAACCCTCCTTGCCCACCCTGGGGTAGTTGACACAGTTGACTGTCCCTGGCTTCTCTGACACAATACTACTGTTTCTCCATCTGTCTGTTGACACATCATTTATTACTTCTGTTTCCTTTTCCTCTTTGCCTGTGGTCCTATCTCGGGATGTAGTCCTTGATTCCTGACTTCTCTCATTCTACATTTCCTCTTTTCACAAGTTCATGGAGAAGTTGTCGTTTTTGTGATTTCAACTCTTAATTCTTGTCTCTGGCTCCAATGCCAAGCTCAGTTCTAGATCTGAATTGCCATCCAATTACAAAGCATTTTCTCTTGTCATACCAGGCCCACAAACCTCACACTCTTTTTTTTTTTTTAAAGAGAGAGTGAGAGAGGAGAGAGAGAGAGAGAGAATTTTTAATATTTATTTTTCAGTTCTCGGCGGACACAACATCTTTGTTGGTATGTGGTGCTGAGGATCGAACCTGGGCGGCACGCATGCCAGGCGAGCGCGCTACCGCTTGAGCCACATCCCCAGCCCTCACACTCTTAAATAGAAGATATCAGCTCCTTCAGTATCGTTTACCTTCTCTTCCCATTTTTGTTACTGGCACTACTATTTTAAAAAATAATAATAATATGTAAAAAATTTTTGCCTTTATTTTTTCTGCCAATAAAAGTATTCTGTGCCCCTTCTCCTTTTGGACTGGTGATTGAACCCAGCAGTGCTATACTACTAGGTGAAATCCCCAGCCCTATTTATTTATTTGGGTACTAAGGATAGACGACAGGGGCTCTTGATCACTGAGCCACATCCCCAACCCCATTTTGTATTTTTCTTAGAGACAGGGTCTCACTGAGTTGCTTAGCCCCTCATTTTTGCTGAGGCTGACTTAGAACTCACAATCTTACTGCCTCAGCCTCCTAAGCTGCTGGGATTACAAGCATGCACCATTACACCCTTATTTTTTACTTTGAGACAGGGTCTCACTAAGTTGCTTAGGGCCTTGCTCATTTGCTGAGGTTGGCCTTGAACTTGTGATCCTCCTGCCTCAGCCTCAGTCTCAGCCTCAGCAACTTCTGAGGCCCTAAACAACTTAACGAGAACCTGGCTCAAAATAAAAAGAGCTAGGGACATAGTTCAGTGGTAAAGCACTCCTGAGTTCAATCCCAGTACAAAAAAACAAAAACAAACAAACAAAAAATCAGGTCAAATAGTCCAGAAATTAGTCACCAACATAACAGGATATTTTGCAACACACACACATTTTCCAGTGTTGGAGATGAAACCCAGGGCCTCAGTTATGTTAAGCAGAAGCTCTGCCACGGAGCTACATCCCCAGCCCCTTCTCTTTTAAGAATCCATTTATTTTCTTTTTTAATTTTAGAATCTTTTTTGATCTTATAAGAAAAATGTGCATCCTGTGATGAGCAGAGGTGTGTAAATTTGGAGGAAGTGATGCTGAGGAGTGCTTAATAAAAGTGAAAGACAATGATGAGTCTGAAGGAGAATCTAAGAGGAGGGAGACAGAATGGCTCTGCAATGAGGAGGATCCAGTGGAGAGCAGGTCCTTAGTCCTGGTTGGGTCCAAGAGAGCTTTTTTTCTGCTGCAGATGCGTGACTTCCCCATGATCCACCAAACCATCAATGAGAGCAGAAAGTTCAGGGTATACTTGGTAAAACTGAATTTCTTCTAGGAGCTGACAGATATTCATCAGTTTAATATTTTTAAATAGAAAAGTCACATGTTATTCCAGAAAAGCTGTAAGAATAAGAATAGTACAAGGACACACCCACTTATGTTACACAGATTCATATGTTAACTTTTTGCTCCATTTGCTATATCATTGATAAATCCCTCCCTCCCTCTCTCTCTCTACCTCTCATCAGGGGCAGCCATGCACACATGCACATGCACACACAGACTTTTTGTCTGAGCCATGTTAGAGTATATTACATATATCATAATTCTTTACCACTAAATACTTCACTGTATTTCAGTGTGAAGAATCCAATCCTAAGAACAGGATGTTGTACATGATTGCAATGTGCTCAGCTTCTTCAATAAATTTAACACCAATACTATATTTTTATTTAACCTATTCTACATATTCCAATCTTGTGAAATAAACCAACAATGTCCTTGATAATCCACCACCTACACACACACTACCACAATCACCACTAAATCCATCCTAAGACCAGATATCCCAATTTTGTCCTTTGAAGAAGGCCAATTTTTGCATCAGGAAATACAAAGGCAGTCCAGATAGTTAAGGGTACAGAGGTTCATCTGAGTTTTATTTTAAATAAGAAAGTCCCTAAAGCTGGGCTTGGTGCTGTATGCCTGTAATTTCAGCTATTCCAGAGGCTGAGGTAGGAGGATTGCAAGCTCAAGGCCAGCCTGGGCAACTTAGCAAGACCCTGTCTCAAAATAAAAAGCAAAAAAAACTTGGGCATGTAGCTCAATGGTAGAGCATTTGTCTAGCATGTCCTAGGTTCTGTGTTAAATCCCCAGCAACACACACATACAAACACACGTCCCTACAAGCACAGCCAGTTGCCAGTGTAAGGTATGGTTCTAGAGCATATACTTGGATTACTTCCTTTTATCTAGTGTTTTTATTAGATATTAAGTAAGTCATATTTATATCTGCTTAACACAAATATTTACAAGATATATATAGGATATAAGGATCATGATTCAAGAATACTTGTGTGTCCACCAATCTTCCTTTTTCAGTGTTAGGCTTTGAACCCAGGGTCTTGTACATGTTAAGTATAGGCTCTACCATTGAGCTATATCCTCAGTCTTGAAATTTTATTTTTTTCCACATGGATAACCAATACCATTTATTGAATAGTTCACAATTATCTTTCTGATCCATAATGACTGCTCAGCCTTAAATCATGCTTTAATATATGTATGGGTTTTGGGGTCCTTTTTCTGTTCATTGGTCAAGTTTTTTTTTATTCTGGGATCAATACTTATAGATTTATTCACTATATAGATTTATAATGATTCTCAATAACTGGTAAGGCAAATTCTCTAAACTTACTATTCTTCAGGGTATTCTCAGCCTTTTATTCTCCAATATAAAGTTTAGAATTAGCTTGTCAAATTCTCCCAAAAAAGATTTATTGAATAATTTGGGGGAAAATTAACATCTTTAGAACAGTGAACCTAATCCATGAGTATAGTATATTTTGCTATTTTTTAATGTCAATAACATTTTGTAATTTTCTCCATAAGTATTTGTATATTTTAATTAGATTTGTTTCTAGTTACTTTACATATTTTGATGACATTGTAAATAGCATTTTTAAAAATCACATTTTTGTTATTGCTATCCAGTATTCTCACTTCAAGTTTCTCATTGCTCTATCCTATTTATCATAGATAAGTTTTCTTTTTTTTTAAGAGAGAGAGAGAGAGAGAGAGAGAGAATTTTTAATATTTATTTTTTAGTTCTCGGCGGACATAACATCTTTGTTGGTATGTGGTGCTGAGGATTGAACCCGGGCCGCACGCATGCCAGGCGAGTGCGCTACCGCCCAAGCCACATCCCCAGCCCCTAGATAAGTTTTCTTTAAGTGACAGGGATGTAGCCAAAGGGATGTGCTTAGCATGCATGAGGACCTGGGTTCAATCCCCAGCACCAAGAAAACCATTCTTTAACATATCACTCATCCAGCTAGGTATAATGGTGGTGTCTGCCTGTAATCATAGTGACTCAGGAGGCTAAGGCAGAAGGCCAGCCTGGGCAACCTAGTAAGAGCTGTCTCAAAAAGGGCTTGGGATGTAGCTCAATAGTAGAGTGCTCCTGGGTTAAATCAATCCCAGTACCACAGGGGAAAATAAATCCTACTCAAGATAGAGTGTGGCTCCATGATGCTTGGAAAATCAAGTCCAAATGGCTCAAATGATCATTCTTCATAACATGGTCCTTCTTTCCCCACCTATGCATCTGCATTTGACTTCATCCAGACTCATTTTCTCACTTAGTTTCTTCTTTGGGCCTTTTTTCCTTTAATTCCTTCTATCTTCAGGGAACCAAGATCCTCCTCTCAAGTCTAATCATAATCATATCCTACTCATTTGTAAGACATAGTTCAATTCCTAACTTGTTCAAGGAGCTTGCTAAATCCAATCACACAGAATGTTCTTCCTTAATCATACTGATGATATACAATGTCCTTTTAAATCTATAGTGAACCTTTGCACTTAATTCTGCACATTTTTGTCAATTAGCAGTTACATGGGATTATGGGTGTAGCTCTGGGGTAATGTGCTTGCCTGGCATATGCAAGATCTTGATTTTAGGGCTGGGGACATAGCTCAGTTGGTAGAGTGCTTGCCTTGAATGCACAAGGCCCTGAGAACCACTAAAAACCACAACAACTTGATTTCAGCCCCCATCACTGAAAAACAAAGCAAAACAAAAACCATCACCACCACCACCAACAACAACAAACAGTTGAACTGGATGTGGTGGGACACACCTGTAGCCTCAATGACTCAGGACCCTGATGCAGGAGCATCACAAGTTTGAAGCCATCCTCAGCAACTTAGTGAGAACCTGTCTTAAATAATAAATAGAAAAGGACTGGGGATGTGGCTAGTGGTAAAGCACCCCTGGGTGGTTCAATCCCCAAGTACAAAACAAAAACAAAACATAACAAAGTTGCATGTATTTGTCTTTGCTTTTGTTCATATTTTCTGACACTCCCAAATTGAGTTGGTTGACCTATCCTTGAGAACACCACAGCTGAGAGTATCAAATGTAGAGGATCAAATGTACAAGCCACTGACCTATACAGGGCCCATGTGTGAATCAGGTAGAAAAAGGTACTTAATTTTGTAAATGGGTGCACATGTTGGCATGCAGATCAAGGGTTAGATTTCAAACTCCATTCACCTCTTAAACCAGTGCCTCTGTGCAGAGAACAACCTCCACAACTGTACAAGGTTGTGCTAGTGGCCAGACTAGGCATGAAATATGTCACCTTACCTCTGTATTTCATTGTTCCTAGGGACTAAAGGCCAACATGACACGTCTTTACCACCTGGTATCGGAACCACAGTTTTCCCACTGCACCAAACCTGCCAAATATAAGAAGTTGCTATTTGCACTCTGCTTCTTCCACTCTGTATTACTTGAACGCAAAAAGTTCCTGCAGCTTGGCTGGAACATCATCTATGGCTTCAATGACTCTGATTTTGAGGTTTGTGCTAGCCAGGGGTCCCACATCCCAGTCTTCTTTCCTTATATTTCCTGCCCCATGGCAGCCCTTTGGGAATATTGGCTGACAGAAAGCCTGTGTTAAAAGCCCCTCTAGGAGAGAACCTGTCATAACTGTATGTGGGGCTGGGGTTGGGACAATGCACAGGTGTCAGAGAACCTGCTGAGTCTCTATCTGGATGAGTATGAGGATACGCCCTGGGATGCACTCAAGTACCTCATCGCTGGTGTCAACTATGGTGGACATGTCACAGATGACTGGGACCGGCGCCTGCTTACAACCTACATCAATGACTATTTCTGTGACCAATCTCTATCAACTCCATTCTACCGGTAAGGGGAAGGTGACACTGAGCAGGGGACAAAAGGACACAGACCAAGTGGCAAGGATTGGGGGCAGGGGAAGTGTTTGAGCAGATAGCGTAAGATTGAGAGAAGACCAAGTTTGTAGGTCTGGGAGGGGCAACAAGAGCCAGGAACTGGACAAACAGGACATGCACAGGGACTGGGGTCTTGGTCTGGCATAGAAACCCAAGTTCTGGTGACATGGTGACAATGATGCTGTGGCTCCCCAGGTTGTCAGTCCTAGAGACTTATTTCATTCCAAAAGATGGAACCCTCGCCTCTTATAAGGAATACATCAGCTTGTTACCTAGCATGGACCCTCCCGAGGCCTTTGGCCAGCACCCCAATGCTGATGTGGCCTCCCAGATCACAGAAGCAAGAACCCTTTTTGAGACTCTGCTTTCTCTGCAACCCCAAATCACACCCATCAGTGCTGGTGGCCAGACCCGGGAAGAGAAGGTAGGATCAGGCAGACCCCTGGCTGGGAGTGTTGAGGAGGAAAGGCTGTGCTGAGCTCATGCTTCCTCAGGTCCTTGAGTTGGCTACTGATGTGAAACAAAAGATCCCGGAGATGATTGACTATGAGGGGACCCGAAAACTGCTGGCTCTCGACCCCTCCCCACTCAATGTGGTCCTTCTGCAGGAGATTCAGAGATACAACAAACTCATGGAGACCATCCTGTAATATGGAGAGGGGCTCTGTGGAATGGGAGAAGGGGAAGGGAAAGGCCTTCACCTCCTGGCTGGGTATGGCTCTCCCATGCCCAGCCAAAGTTCAAACACTCCACCTACTTCATCCTGCTTAGGTTCTCACTTACAGACCTAGAGAAGGGCATCCAGGGCCTCATCGTCATGTCAACAAGCCTGGAAGAGATTTTCAATTGCATTTTTGATGCCCACGTTCCTCCACTCTGGGGAAAGGCAAGATTATACTACTGTTGATTAAACCTGTGCTAACCAATGAGCTCTCCTCTCACCACACCCTCATCTTCTGATTCTAGGGAGGGCCAGAATTTGAGGTTGCATTGTGGCTCTACCATTCACTGACTGTGAGACTCTGCACAATTTAATAACTTACAAACTTACTCAGAGAAAGTTACTAACCTCTCCAAGTATGTTTCAAGAGATTTCCAGTACTGTGCATAATAGTCAATAGATACTTTATTAATAGTACAGATTGAGAAATCTGAAATGTTCCAAAAATCTGGAACTTTTTTAAGTGCCAATATGATGCTTGAAAAGTTTGATTTTTGGATTTTCAGACTAATGATACTCAGCTGGTAAAGTCTGTCAAATATTCCCCAATCCAAAACAACAAACATTCTCCAAAATCTGGAACACTTCTGGCCCCAAGCATTTCAGATAAGGGATGCTCAACCTGTATTGAGGTCACTGTTATTAATTGTTGTCATTTTCTGTTTCTTTCTTGGGAATTGGCTTTTGGAGAGTTGTTGTCCAACTGTTTTGGAGAGTTTTTGGTTGAAGAGCAGGGGCTGACACCACATTGTCTTCCCATAGCTGCTCAGGTGCTCAAATAAAGTTCTAAATGTATGATGGAATGAATGAGCACAGGCACTCCCTCCTCCCCCAGGCATATCCCTCACAAAAGCCACTGGCTTCATGGACCCGGGACCTGGCCATGCGTGTGGAACAGTTTGAGCTGTGGGCTAGCCGGGCACGGCCTCCTGTGATCTTCTGGCTCTCTAGTTTCACCTTTCCCACTGGGTTCCTTACTGCTGTGCTGCAGTCATCAGCTCGCCAAAACAATGTGAGCAATGTGGAAAGGGGGAAGTGGGAGGGATGCTGGGGGATATGTATTTACTCTCCTCTCTGGGCCTCCCTTATTCTCACCTTCAACCCTCAGATTTCAGTGGACAGTCTCTCCTGGGAATTTATTGTTTCCACAGTGGATGACAGCAACCTAGTATATCCACCCAAGGTGGGAATTGGATAAGCTTTGGGCTCTGAGAAAAAGGGGATTTGGTGGAGGAGAGTGGTGGGAGCAAAAGTGAAAAGTTCATCAGAACAGAAGGGAGGATAGAGTTAGGTCAAGGGTGCTGGCAACTTAGGGTCTAAACTTCCTCCTACCTACCCTCATCTTTCTGTAGGATGGTGTCTGGGTTCGGGGCCTATACCTAGAGGGTGCCGGCTGGGACCGGAAGAACTCCTGCTTAGTGGAAGCAGAGCCCATGCAGCTGGTCTGTCTTATGCCTACGATCCACTTCCGACCTGCAGAGAGCCGAAAGAAGAGTGCCAAGGGTGGGACAGCTTCCTGAGGCCTGCCTACCCCATTCCTTGTCTGGACCCTAATCCATCACTGGCTCCAGTCCTCAGTTTCTCTTCCAGGGGCTTCAGGGATCTGATTGCTTTTCCTTTCTTTTTTCTCAGGCATGTATTCTTGTCCGTGCTATTACTATCCCAATCGGGCAGGCAGCGCTGACAGAGCCTCCTTTGTTATTGGCATCGACCTAAGATCTGGGGCTATGACTTCTGATCACTGGATTAAGAGGGGAACTGCTCTACTCATGAGCCTGGACAACTGAGGCGGCTTCCTTTTCTTCCTGGCTTGAGAGTGGGTTGGGGACTCTGGAAGCCAAGATCATTGGCTTTGGCTGAATCTGGCGTGTATAGGGCCCTGGAGATAACTAGTCATTCTAGCCATAAAGGAGGATGAGTTGTATTGGAGCTGTGTGCAGTAAAACAGCACAAGCCCTAAGTGTCTTAATGGAATGGTGGTGATTTAGGGATTAAGGCCGGCCTTTATTCTGGGGTTCTAAAGCAGACAGGAGTTACTATGTGTATGTGGTGCTGGGGATTGAATACAGGGCCTTGTGCTTGCGAGGCAAGTACTCTACCTACTGAGCTATACCCGCAGCCCAAGACAGGGATGACTTGTGAGCTCCTACTGTAAGGGGAAAAGGAGCAAGGGAAGTGGGGAGGCCTCGAGAGGAAAGGAGGCGTGGCTTTGAACCAATGAGCAGAGCGGTGGAGCCTAAAGAGGGTGTGGCCTAAACTTCTCGGCCGGACACAAGAGGGGGCGGGGCTTACATTGGAAGGGCGCGGGATCCAAATGGAATTGGGGTTTATCAGGCAGGGATCCTGGGTGGGCCCGATAAACTGCATCCTGAACCCCGCGCCCTGCCCCCGGTATTCTACCCAGCACTGGCGTTGGGCGAGCCGGGCCCGCTGAAGGCGGGGCGAAGCCGAAGAGAAGGACTTCAGCGCAAGGAGGGGCGGGACCACAAGAAGGGGGCGGGGCTGGGGAGGGGGGGTACGAGTGTTTGTGTTGGAAAATCCAACTGCGCCACCGGGCGGAGCGGCCCCCCCAGCCCCGGCCTGGGAGAGGGGGGGCCCGCTCGACCCTCGGGAGACCTTGGGGACCCTAAACACCTGGGACCCCCCAGAACCAGGTAACGAGGAACTGCGAGGGCGTCTGGAAAGAGGGAAACCGTCTCTGTACGAGGTGGGCGGGACGTGAGAATCGCGGGAGGGTTAGAGCTTGGGATGGACGTTTGAGTCTCTGAAAAGGCTCTGGGAAGACCACCGGGGTGCAGTACATCCGGGTTCCCCTGAAAAGAGTGAGGCGGGTGGGGGAAGAACTGGGAGGCGGATATCTTGGGTTCCAGATGTCAAGACGAGCCAGAAAGGATTTCCAGTCTCCCCTTGGGCTGGGATTTCCCCTTCCTGATACTAGGGTGGGGCGCGGCAGTCGTAATTGAAGGGCTAAACTAAAGGGCAGAGTTTGCAGTCAGGTCAATGCGATGGCCTATTGAGGTCAGATGTGGACCTCCAGTTCTTCCCACAGGTGGGGTATATAGTCGCGGCCCTCACCTTCCTACCAGGAACCCAGAGAGCCCCAGCGGTAGCCTTCCCCCCACTCCGGTGAACCTCCTTTCACACTCCCCTACCCCCCCCTCCCGCCGCCCCGCGTCCTGCCCCTACTCTGCGGTCTTCGGTTCCCTAGCCCTCTCCCGGCTCGGGCCCATCTCAGTGCCGAACCTTTGCAGCATAGCCACGAGATGGCGAGGACGAGACACAGAAGTCCAGAACTGAAGGGCATGCAGGTGGAGGATGTGACCCTGAAAGCACTGAAGCCCCCCGCCTCGGCCTGAGGGAAAGATGGGCTGAGACTTCCTGTCATCTAGGACCCCCCACAGGAAATTATGTGTGGGAGAGCACTGGGCTTAGAGTGGGGAGGGAGCGGGGGACTCTGTTTCAGCCTGGTTGAAACTGATTTAGTGGGGTGGGGAGGGGTACGCGGATTGGTTATTAAGCAAGGCCATTCGCTTTCCTGTCTGCTGTGGCGTGTAGCTGTGTCTTGGGGTGGGGGCTGAAGAGAGCAGGGAGACTGTGAGGAAAGTCGAGGGCAGAATGTCTAGTTCCCGGGCACGGAGAACCCTGGGAAGAAAGAAGGGAAGCTGCCAGATGCGGCGCGGCAGAAATGGACTAGGTGGTTTAAGGGAGGGAGGCGGAACCCTAGTCACAGATCTTAATTCGGCTCCCAGTCCCTTCCCGAGATTGCTTGCCCTGTTGCCAGAGTAACTGGAGAGCGAGACTCTGCAGTCAGATTCCCGAACTCTCTCTGCCCAATCCGCTGCATGGACGTGGTTGACGTCACGGCTCTAGAAGCCAATGGGGAGCGGGCATTATGGAACGACCGGAAGAGGGAGAGGGGGAAAAGGTGGTGGAAGGGAGGAGGCAGCTGCTTAGGATCTGCACGTGCACTCCCACACGCTCGCGCCCACCCCTTCCTCCGCCTCACGCGCCCGAACACCCCCTTGCGCCTGCGCGGGAGTCGGGCACTCCCCCTCCTACTGGTTTTGAGTGTTTGCAAAGTGGTCCGTGGTACTCTCTTCAGTTCCTTCTGACCCAGACGTTTGAGTCGGCCTGCACTCATTTGCCGGGTCTCCACTGTTAATGCCTATCTTCGCATCGGAGGGCCAGCTACCTGTTTCCCACTACCCCCCCCACCACCAGCTGGCGCCCCACACTCCCAGGTGGGCTGGGCGGAGCTGTGGTTTCCGGCCCCACATGCTGAGTCGCTGCCTTCCCGGGCTCTGGCTTAGGTTGCCTCCCCAAAAGAAAAGGAGCATGTACAGCGCCCCTTCCAGAGGCTTTGCCTCCCCGGGCCAGCTGTTGTTGGCGAGGGAGGGCGCTGCGGGAAACCCCGTACGACCCAGGAGACGCTTCTCAAGCCGTCACGCCCCTTCGCGTGAATTCCTGCTCTTTGATGTGCCCCAAACCCCTTCCAATCCCTAACGTTTCCTCTTCACCCTCCCTAGTGTTCTTTGCACCTCTCTTGGCCCCTTTCGAACTGTCTGTCCCCATATCCACTCGTCCTTTTCTGCTTCCCAGGGTTATATAACTCTTCCTCTCGCCGTGTCCTGATTTCAACTCCACTGACTCCGCCCTGGAACTGTACGGGAGGGGAGGGAGAGTTAGGGACCCAGACAGATTCCGACCGGCTGGGGCACATGGGATCCCGCAGATAGGAGACGGAGCCCCGTGGGACCAGGCGCTTCGTCCCCCGCCTCCTGCCCCCACCAGAGATCTCGCCCTGGAGTGAGAAGGCACAGTATCCGAGGGGCGTGTCGTGACTCCCGTCAGAAATGTGGGTTGGGAGGTCAGGGCTGGAGGCGGAGAAGAGGAGGCAAGCGAGAAGCCCAAATCCCTAGGATTGGAGTCGTATTGGGGCCAAAAGAGATAAGGGCAGAACGCCTGGGTTCTTAGTCGGCTTTTCGGGTTCCCAGAATTCCTAAAGCTTTTTCCCAGGAAGCTTAGTCAGCGCCACCCCACCACCCCCATAGGGGTCAAAGGTCTGTGTTAGAGGTGGCCTAGGATGATGTCACCAGTGCACGTGCCCCGGGATGGTTGCCAGGCAATGAGGCCTCTTCCCCCTTCCATACCCTCCCACCTCTAACCTGAATCCAATCCCGGTCCCATGCCATCTCTTTCCCCTCTCCTTTCCCCTGGCCTTAGCATTCTGCAGGTGGGAAACCCTGGCATGGAGTTTTATGAGGGGGAGGGGCACGGGTGTGGTGTAGTTGAAAGACTTTGCCCCTAGGCTGGACTGAGAGAATCTTGGGTCACTTTCCCCTAGATTGACACCAGAGAGTTTCCTCTCCGGGTCCCTCCCTCCTTGAAAGAGCTTCCTACAAGCCTTCATACTTTTCCACCTGCTGCATGGCCCAGATTCCTATTGCCCCCTTCCCTGTCTAGAGTTGAAGTGGGAGTGGTTGCAAGACATCTGCTCCTAGGAGAAGAGTTGTGTGTGTGGGGATACACACCAGCTCATCTCTGACGTCCCCTTAACCGATGGCTCAATACACTCCCCAAACTGAGAAACGGTCAAAAATAGGTTTTTATTCTTTGTAAGGCAGATGGATCAGTTTTGAGGCATCCCACTTGGAGAAGAGGGACTTAGTTATAACTATGGCTGCCCTTCTCTGTTAAGTCCTGGGTTTGGTGGTGGTATTGGAAAAAAATAAGTATTTGTTTCCATGTGCCTTAGAGTTTGGACTCTTAGGACAGACCTGGATTCTAATCCCAATTCTTAGTGGCCATTGAGACTTGGAAAGGTCACAACCTACCAGAGCCCCAAATTCTTAATCTAGGAAATTTAAATATTAATACCCACCTCCCAGGCAGATGGGAGGGAAAAGATAATTTATACAAAGCACTTAGCATAGTGCCTGGCTCCAAATGAACATTGAATGAATGCTTGTTATGAAATACTTATTATTAAATAGTGTTGTTATTTTTATTATATTTGGTGGGCCTTCTCTAAACTAGCCATGACCTTAGGAGTTAGGGAGGAGTGGA